GGGATTGGGAGGGGAAGTGGGGCCAGGGGATAACGGGCACATACAAAAAAGTAATACTAGGTAAATTAAAAAGGCAACTGTTAACTTCAAGAGAAATGAAGAACCACATAACAAAGTAGGTGTAGTCATGTTACACTATTTGACCAGCAGGGACTATTTACACAGTTAAAATATTAAATCCCGGGGCGCCTGGGCGGTTAACAGTCAGTTAAGCGGTCCAACTCGCAATTTCAGCTCAGGTCATGATCTCAGGGTTATGAGATGGAGCCTCAGATGGGGCTCCGCACTGGGCGTGGAACCTGCTTAAGATTCCCTCTTTCACTCTGTGGCAACCCCCTCCCCCCCCATTAAAAAAATATAAGTAAATAGTAAAACATACATCTTGACTCGCAAATGAATCAAAAGGTGTCATTACTAATGACATGCCAGTAAAGAACTGGGGACTCCACCATGGTTAACAAATAATGTCTAAAGATGCAAAATCAAGAACTAGCTATGAATAAATTATTTACGAATATGGAAGTAAATAACTAGGGGATTCAGTGGAGCCAAGGGCTGAAGGGAACTACTTTATGCCTTTAGAACTATCAATTTTTTTTAATAATTTTTTATTGTTATGTTAATCACCATACATTACATCATTAGTTTTTGATGTAGTGTTCCATGATTCATTGTTTGTGCATAACACCCAGTGCTCCACGCAGAATGTGCCCCCTTGAATACCCATCACCAGGCTGACCCATTCCCCCCACCCCCCTCCCCTCTAGAACCCTCAGTTTGTTTTTCAGAGTCCATCATCTCTCATGGTTCGTCTCCCCCTCCAACTTATTCCCCTTCATTCTTACCCTCCTGCTAGCTTCTTCTTCTTTTTCTTAACATATATTGCATTATTTGTTTCAGAAGTACAGATCCGTGATTCATCAGTCTTGTACAATTCACAGTGCTCACCATAGCACATACCCTCCCCAATGTTAGAACTATCAACTTTTGAAACTTTCTTTTATTAAAAACATTTGAGAAAACACACGGTCTTAATACAAGAGTGGATTACAAATGATGGGATTTTGGAATACAGGTGAGGTTCAGTGGGGTGAGGGCCAGAGCCAGAGCCGCCAGCCAAGAAAGAATTCCTGAGACGTCAATGGAGCAAAAAGGTCGTTTTACTAAAGTCCAGGGACAGGGCCTGAGGGCAGAAAGAGCTGCACAGGGGTAATCTATAGGGTTGGGGGAGGTAAGGAGAAAGGGAGGTTTTCAAAGAACTTTTTTTTTTTTAATTTTATTTATTTATTTGAGAGAGAATGAGAGATAGAGAGCACGAGAGGGGGGAGGGTCAGAGGGAGAAGCAGACTCCCCGCTGAGCAGGGAGCCCGATGTGGGACTCGATCCCGGGACTCCAGGATCATGACCTGAGCTGAAGGCAGTCGCTTAACCAACTGAGCCACCCAGGCGCCCTTCAAAGAACTTTCATATGCTAAAGAGGACCTACAAGATACCAAAGGCCTTGCCACTGTCAAGTTAAGCTTGTTTTCCCCTCTAGCATGGTATTAACATTAAGATCTTTGGGAGCTTCCTGAAAGAATGTCACACTTATCCCACCCAGGAGTGGGGGGGCAGGGAGGTTGCAGGGTGTCAGCTTATGCTTTGTCTTCAGCTAGCCTTCTGTTCCTTCATCATAAAGAAAAGAGGGGGTCAGCCCTGGGTGTTGTAATTACTAAATCACCAAATCCTACACCCGAAGCTAATATTACACTGCATCTTTTCTTAAAGACATAAAACTGAAGTCACCTCCAGATAGAGCTGGTATTTGTAAGGGAAGAGGGATGAGACGAAAGGAAAGGGCAAAACCAAAGATGACACCCACATCCTTGGCCGCTGGTAACATCTGAGACAGGAAGGGGGTAGGGGAGAAAACAGGTGAGAGAAATCAAGAGTTCTGTTTTAGGTGTATTGAGTTCGAGATGCTTTTTAGATCTCCAAGTGGGGCTATCAAGAAAAAATGGTTGATGCGTGAGTCCGGAGTGCAGGAGAAAAGTTGAGAGCTAGAGATGTCAATTTGAGTCATTAGTTACAGTTAATATTTAAATCTCTAGGGCTGGATAAGACACCATGCAGAGAAAACAGAAGGAAAGGGATTAGAAATATACATTTGTATTATAGTATGTCGTAGAAATATAGAAAATAACGGTATCTCATGGAGTAAGGGAAAGTACTAGTCCATAAAATTTTTATTTCAGAAACAGAAAGAGGACATACAGATGTATAAATAAACTGATGCATGTAATTTATATACTTTGAATGTACTGGGAATAATGTAAAATGTATTTCCTATCAAAGACTGTGATCCAAAAACATTTAATAGGAAATTCTAGTGGGGGGCGCCTGGGTGGCTCAGTCAGTTAAGGGTCTGACTCTTGGTTTTGGCTCAGGTCATCCTCTCAGGGTCATGGGATCCAGCCTCATGTCGGGCTCCATGCTCAGTGGAGTCTGCTTCTCTCCCTCTCCACCTGCCCCTCCCCTCACACTTTCTCCCTCTCTCCCTTTGTCTCAAACAAGTAACTAAATAAAAATGTTTTAAATAAATAAATAAATTCTAAGGGATGAGAAGCCAGGAAAAGATAAACAATTAGGCATATGGTAGGAAGGACACTGAAAATATAGTGTACAAAAGCCAAGAGAAATACTTCATAAAAGGAAAGCTTACCTGTATAGAATGAGTATGAGAGGTTAAATACAATTAAGACTAAGTGACCATGGACTTGGTAATATGGAGGCCATTTGTTACTGACCTCGACAAGGGCCACTTCAGTGAATGGTGAAAGTGGAAAACATTTTAGCATGGATGAGAGGCAAGAAAATACACACAACCAACACACACAAGAGAAAGAAAACCTCCCGAGGAACCTGAAATCTGAAAGTCGGCATTCACTGTGTCAAAGAGCCAGTCAGTTCTACAATAAAGTAGGTGATGAGTTTCTCAGGGCAGACTCATGTCACAGGTTTCTAATCTCCAACTTGACTGTATTTGGATAGGTCCTTTAAGAGTTAATTAAGGCTATAAGAATTCATAAGGGTGAGGCCCTAATCCAACACAACTCACACTCTTTTTAGAAAAGATTAGGGCACAGGCACACATAGAGGAAGACCAGATGAGGACCCAGGGAGAAGACAGCCATCTTCAAGCCCAGGAGAGAGACCTCATTAGAAATCAACCCTGCTGACACCTTGCTCTTAGACTTCTAGCCTCCAGAACTGTGGGGACAAAAATTTCTGTTGTCTAAATGTCTGTGGTATTTTGTCACAGCAACCTTGCGAACTAATACAATGCCCGAGATTCTCCAGTCTCAAGTCTAGCTGGATGCCTTCCCTTCTCTCCCCAAGCCCCAGGTCCATCCTACTCAAAACATGAAACTACTCCATCATTAGCTCTCCCAACAAAACAGTGCTTGAATTCCTTTCTTCATAAAGCTATTAGTTCTGGACCATTCCAATCAAAATAAGATGTTCTTTTACTTACCACACCTCACTTCTCATTCCAAAATATTTTCTGAAACCAAAGGCAAGGCATTTTTAGAAAAATGAGTAAAATCAAAGTAACTAGCTATTGGGAGATGAGAGAACAAGTAAGATGTAAGTAGCAATGGGGAATTTTGATGCTCCAAAGGCAAGTCTGGCAAATATTCTATGCAAGGTTTTGTATGGTCTATGTGCCACACACATCCCCACCTCCAAGCAGCTCGCATCTTGGGATTAGAAAGAAAGCATATGCTTTCCTCCTTCTTCGCACGCAAACAAATCACACAGATCTGGTTTTCCTTACTTCCAGAATCTTACATATCTACAATTAGTCCCAAATCCTGCCATCACAAGCAGGAAGTGGAGAAAGGCTTTTCAATTGTTTTGTCATCAGAAAAGAAAGGCTGTTAACTCTGGTTCCTTCCTATGGCAAGAAAATTAAAAATATACATACAAGTATGTAAATACAAATACATACAATAGAATACAAATGTAAATACAAATACAGATATATGCATTTGCAAAAGTGCACACTATCTTCTCCAAACACAGCTGATACTGAGTAGTACCATGAAATGAATAAGCCCTATAGCATTTATTTTTATTTCTGACAAATTACTGCATCTACCTGAACCATCCTTCAATATATCGGAATTATGAAAAATGAAACTCACTGACACCTGGTTCTCAATACTTCCTAAATTTTCACAATCGCTCAGCCACTTTGCTAAGGGACCTGTGGTTATCAGTTACTGTACATAAAGAAATCAAGAAGATCTAAAATTGCGCTACTATTACCCTGAGAAGAAAGTTTTACATCCTCCCATTCCGAGGAAGAAAAAACATCACAGCAAACAAAACAGCACCATCATCACAAAACTTGAGAGTTAGGTTACCTGACCCTGGAAGTTTAATATAGCCGGTGTTTTTGAAGTTCTGCCTAGCCTCAACATTTCTGTCTGGAATTCAGTTTAAGCCTGAACTCGAAGTAAACAATTTCCCGAGTGCTTCATACCCAACTCTGTCCCTACTCCTGATTAAATGAAGGTAGGGAAACCTCTCGTTATCATTAGGGTCAGAACCTCTGAAAAAGGAAAAGGAGTAACCAATCACTTCACCTTCGAATACAGGCCAAGGTTAAAATCTGGGCAGAGAGTGGTTAAGAATGGCAATCAAGAGCAGTCGGTGCGCACGAAGCACTATCTGGTTTACCCCCAAGTCAGGATGCCCAGCCCTGGATCCTCCTCCTTCCCTCTCCAGGATGCCGGCGGGCCTCTCCTGGGGCACGGGCACGTCTCCCCTGACTCAGTCCTTAGAGCTAGGTGGACAGCAGATGATTTTAAGACACTTGTCCATCCACGCCATTAAAAAAACAAAAAAAACCCAAAAAAACAAAAAACCACACAGACAAAACAAGTGAGCACCCCGAGTCGCGCCGGCGTGTGTACTCCCGTGTGGAACTGCCCCGCGGCGGATGCCCCACTCACCGCACACCATCAGCAGCAGCACGATCAGCAGCGTGGCCACGAACACCAGCAGGGTCAGCCCGACGCTGTGCCACATCTTGGGGGGAGGACGGCGGCCGGCCCCTGGCTGCGGAGCGGCGGGCGCGGGCGGGCCGGTGGCGCGTGCTGGGCTTCAGCGGCGGGCGCCGGGGGCAGCCGAGCGCCGGGGAACAAGAGCGGCGGGGGCCCCTCGGCAGCGCCCCCCCGGGGGCGGAGCGGGGCGGCGCGGGGGCGGTACCGCGGCCGGCCAGCCGGGCGGATCCTCCTTCGCTCCCCGGCCCGCGGAGCGCGCGGCTAGGCGCGACGCAGGGCGCCCCTACCCCCTCATCGCTCCGGGGAGCCGGGGACGCGGCGCCCTGAGACCCCGGCGGCAGCCGGATGTGCTTCCATGGCGGACGCCGCGCGCCCGTGGACAGAAGAGAGGGCGAGCACAGGGACGCGCGGCGGCCACACGGCCCTCGTCGCCGTCCGCCGGGGGGGATGGGGGTGGGATGTTGGGGGGTGGGGGGGGGTCCCTCGGCCCGCAGGGACAGCGGCTAACGTCTCCCGACAGCGGCCGAAGCAGCTTCTCGACCCCAGTCCCCTCCCCCAGCAGAAGCTCAGCGCCGAGCACGCCCACCGCTCTCCGCCTCCGCGGCGCGGGTCCGGCTGGGAGATGGAGTGCAGAGCCCAGTGAAGGCCATTGAAGGCTGCCCCGCAGGGACTACAATTCCCACAATGCACCGCCAACTCGGTCGCTTTGCTTCGCCCTCCCTCTGCTTTTGGTGTTTCTGGAGCCACAACCTCTGTCTTACCGACCGCGGGTTAGTATTGTCTGAACCCGCGTAGTTGGCCGCCTGTGCTGCATTGTGCGAAAGCGCCAGAGTGGTGGCAACCATTATCCCGCACATGAAATCGTTTTGTTCCACGATCGACGAAGCACGAAGAGGGAAGAAAGGGGAGGCAGCTGCCTGGAAAACTGGTTGCATGTGAACCTAGCCCTATTGCTGGGGGTACACATTGGGTACTTGGCCTTTTGAGGAAATACTCACGTCCGTGCCAAACAGGAGAGCCAGAGGCACGAAATCTCCCTTTTCCTCCTGTAACAGATGTTGGTCTGTGTTTTCGTGAGTAATGTATTTAAGAAATGGTTCGCGAAGGACTTAAGTACATCTGCTTAGCCCTTAATTCACCTGAGTTGTAAATTTAATTCAGGGACTTATTGAAACCAAGCGACACATGACCCCAAGCTGAAGATTTTGCCGCACTGTCTTCAACAAATCACTGTGAAACAAAACAATTTTAATAATCTCAAGTACTCTATCTCTACCTGCAATCAAAACTCTTCAATTCTGCCAGATTAGATTCATTCGTTAAAGATGTGCCCCCAGAAGAGAGGATAAATGTGTATGTAGCCCACTTTTAGACAGTACCATAAATAGCCTTCCCGTTCTTCTGTGACTCTGTTGCGCCCCGCAGTACCTTTCTATTCTTCTACAAATTCCTTTCCTCTGTTTTCTGTCTCCAAAAACAAGTCAACAAAATCTGAGCAGAAATCTCTTGATTTAATAACTGTATCTTGGCCATAACCCAGCTGCCCCACTGTCAATTTTATTCCCTAAGCACAGTATTATGAGCAAATACTGCATATGAAAATACATTAAGGGATAATGACTTTGCAGAAGATTTAATACAAGGCTCCTATTAAGAGAATGAATCCAGTGCAATTATGATTTGTTGATCAAAAAAAATCAATCAAAAATAAAAAAATTATTTTGCATAAATAAAACACATTTTATTAAAGCCCAATTGAATAGTTGAAAATAACACAAGAACTGGACGAATTTATTTTAAAGCTTTTTATCTTCCCTTCCACTCCCATGTATTGAATATATAATAGATGCTAGACACTATTCTAAAAGCTGGGGATACAGCAGGGAATGAGACAAAGGTGTTTATGCTCAAAATGCTTATATCGGAAGATACGATAAGCATAAATAGGGAAATCTCCAACCGCTAATTCCTATAATGAAAACAAGCAGGAGAGCGTGATAAAGATAGGGGTGTTATTTTAGATTGGGGGGGATCAGAGAAGGCCTATCTGACTAAGTGATATTTAATCTGAGACCTGAAGGGTACAGCCATGGAAATACCTAGAGAAAGAGAGTACCAGGGAACAGGAGCAGCTAGAACAAAAGGCACAAGGAGCAAACAAACAGCCATTCAGCTACGCCTTGGTAGTATTTCCCAACATTTCGAATCACTAGGGAGATTTAAAAATTACAAATGGCCAGACCAAATGACTCAGAATCTCTAGAGGTAATCCCAAGCACAGTACTTTTTAAAAGCTCCCAAATGATTCTAATGTGCACCCATGGTTAACCACTACTAAAGCAGTGGTTCTCGTTGAATGGTCTCTGGACCAGCAGCATTAGGATCACCTGGGAACTTGTTGGAAATGCAAGTTCTCAGGACCTACCCCAGACCTACTGAATCTAAAACTCTGGGGTAATCTCAGAAAAAAAGAAAAGAGAAGGTGTATTGGATTAGGGTAGTAATCAATGGAGTAGTGACAAGTGGAAAGATTTAGGATATGTTCTGGAAGGAGAATCATATCAGGATTAGCTGATAGACTAGATGTGAAAACAGGTGAGGAAAAGAAATCAAAAATGACTCCCAGGTTTGTAGCCTGAGCTTCTAGGTGAATGGCTGTGCCCTATCTTGAAATGGGGAAGACGATGCAACCATCTCCCTGGAATACTTTATGAACTTCTCTCTTTACAAACGATCCTTAGCTGTCCAGGTGAAGGATGTGGTGACTGTGGTAAAGTCCCACAACCAAGAACCAAAGTCTTTTAACTCTCAAAAGTCCAAGGGCTTTTCCATCGAACCATGCTGCCTTATGTCTCATCATTTGCTGTATTAGCACAGATCATGTTTCCAAGGATAAATTCTGTAAGGATTTTCAAGGATAAGGTTTTGAAGTTACTCTTGAGCTATGGTTATTTCTGGAGTCTACTTACTGTTCTCATCCCTGTATAAAATGATCCACCCCCCTCCTTTCTGACCTCAAGCCTACTTATCCTTCAATGTCTGTCCAATTTCCTCCTCAGTAAGACCTCCTGATTTCTTCTTTACGGGTCTGTCCAGCTCCTCTAAGCCAGTGGTTCTCAGTCTTACCTGTACATGGGAAGCATTAAAAGCAGATTCTCAGGTTTCATGCCAGGCATATGAAAGGTGGGCAGGGGAATATAGAGGGTCTGTAACTGTTTAATACCCTCTAGGTTTCGATGAACAGTCAGCGTTGAGAAGCACTAGTGCAAACTATATTTAGAAATTAATTAGGTACCTATCATAATATTCCTTGGATTGTTTTATGTTGTTATTTAGTATTTCATGCATATATATTTTTTTTCAAAGATTTTATTTATTTATTTGAGAGAGAGAAAGAGAGAGCACATGAGAGGGGGGAGGGTCAGAGGGAGAAGCAGACTCCCTGCTGAGCAGGGAGCCCAATCCCAGGACTCCAGGATAATGACCTGAGCGGAAGGCAGTCGCTTAACCAGCTGAGCCACCCAGGTGCCCCTATTATTTAATATTTCATATGTATATTTCATATATATATTTCATACACACACACACACACACACACACACGCACACACACATATTCTGATTCTTAGAGGAGAACACTTACTCCTCCCCTGCTCTTTCTTTCCATAAGGGAGGAAACTCAATTGGTAACAGTATGTCTAGTCTCTCTGTGCTCCTTTATTCCCTGTGTCCTTGGTCTGGGGAGGAGTGACTTATCTAATTAGTGCATTTAGGAAAAATAAAGTGGGTTTGCTGAGCTTGTCTCCTCCCACATTCCTCTTGGGTGTGAGCTGCCTTAAGCCTCTTTACTGTGTAGGCTTTCAGCATAGGGAGGGCTCCCCCTCCCCCCAGTTCAGCATTGCCTCAACTTAGGGCTTAATTAGTAGGCCTGACTGGCTCTCACATTATTATATGTTCTCTGACCTAGTCTTTATTATTAATAAAGGTGACATTTGGCCTCCATATGTCTTACTCTTTTCTTTAATTTCTCAATTAGGCAACATGATTCATGGTTCCCTTTTAGCAATCCCAGACTGCTTTTAAGATAATTAAGGGAAGAGTCATGCATTCAGCATTTATGTAGTAACACATAGTAGGTGCTAGTCGGATATTGAGTGGTCCAAATACTTGATCTCTAAAGCCTGACAATAGGCCTGAATTTTACTCATTTGCTCTCTAAGTGTTGTGGGAAGAATTATGCTAAATGTGGGATGGATACAAAGTAACTAAGATAAGATTCCTGCCCTCAAGGAAAACCCAGTCCTAAGGTAAGTGTTTGGCAAATACTACTTTGTCCCAGGCACTGTGCTTGCCAGTAGCAATACAAAATAGATCAAATATGCTCCCTTACATAAAAGAACTCAAACTGGCTCAGCTTTTTTCAACACTGATCCTTCTGAGCCTCATAAAATCAACAGAATCATGATCAGTACCTTAAAAAATAGAATAAAATAAAATAGAACAGAAGATACCACTGTGTATTACAAGTACTAAGGGCAAGCACTACTCATGAAACTTGCTTCAGTTATCTATGTATATGGGTGTGCGTGTGTGAACTGAATTACAATGCAAAATATATTCTTACTGTAGGTCATAGTTTTTAAAAAAGTTGAAGACCTAGCATCTAGCAGAAGAAGGTAGACATGTATATAAGTGAATATATTGACTATTATTGTAGCTATAACAGGAATTTTACAGATGAGATCAAGGCTCAAGGAATCTAAAAATTTGGGAGGAGGTATGGGTAGAGCTGACATTCAAACCCAGGGCAGTTTGATTTAAAGGAAAATTTTGTTTCCATTGGACCACAAGATTGAGGATGACACCAGGCAAGTTCTTAGGAAAAGGGGAAGATATGTGAAAAGACATGAGCAAAGTCTTGAAGTCGAAATGCATTTTGTAAGTATATATGGGGGAGGGTCAGGGTCCTTAAGATTCCATGGAAAATATACAATTCCTTCCAGTTCTAATAAACTTGGAGTGGAGGTATAATATGGTAGTTGAGAACTCCTGTTCTATAATTAAACTCTGGATATAAAACCTGACTTGGTTGAATTAGTTCCACTGTCT